GAAGTCAATTTATGGAGACAAAAAGAGAGGCAAATTGTCGTGTTTAGCTTTTCAAAATTAAGTGAGATAGTACGGATGAAAGTATGGTGAAAGATTTTATGTTACATCACTAACTAAAGATGGAAACTAAAAAGTAACTAAACTAACTAAACCAACCAACTTTCTTATCTCATTTGGTTCCTAAAATTTGGCCATGCACCTTATTTGGATAGTTCTTTTACTTGCATGGTCTTTTAAAATATCAAATTATGAGAAAATAAATAATGGCTAGTTAAATTCTCAAAAAGGTATTCCTATAATTACTTTCATACCTTAGATATTTTAACACAAAAAATATAAAAGAAAATGGCACATAAATTATAACCACATAACAAAGGATATTCTAGGAGATATTCTTATCGAAAATTAAAATTATAGCATATCGAAATAATTTTTTTTATCTCCTCACATAAACACGAAGCATATTACTATCTCTAAATATTAATCGCACTTAATACTTCATATACAGGTATAATATATCGGTATGTATAGCTAGTTTAAGGAGTTTCACGGGGGTTACACCGATGGATAAATAGAGGGAGTTAATACTTTGCTAGAGACATATTTGAGAAACTATATATGTGCTAACTTATGGGATTAGGCGAAGTTGCTTGGATGTTAACCAATTCTCTTTAAGATAGTGACGAGCTAACAACCTCTCGCTCCACACACAATGGTGCTTGGTAACAAGTACCAAAAATGTAGCCCTACAACGTATTCATTGGTCGAGGGATGGTAAGAGCAGACAGATTTGACATAAATATATTTGAAAAAGACTACCAATAAGAGAAAGAAATAGGCTGATAAGAGACGGAGGGGTGTCACCTTCTAATTAGAGGATAAGGTGATGGTGAAGTTATTACCATAACAACATAAAGCTTTTCAAAAGATGCACAAAGGCCTCATACGTCGATATAAATGACCATTTGAGGTAGTACACAAAGTGAAAGAGGTGTCCTGTTGTCTAGAGTTATCACCGAAGCTAAAAATCCATCTAATGGTCCATGTTAATATGTTGAAAGCATACCATACGGATGAAGAGGATCCCAACCGAGGAGTTTTTTATAGGGCGGCTACGGTCGTGGTTGACTTGTATGACAAATAAGTTGATGTCGTACTTGATAACCATATAGTATGATGTTGTAGTATGCTACCAAGAAAGGAGTAATATATGAAATGAAAAGGCTTACTAGGGAGTGAGGTTAGTTAGGAACTTGTAGAAGCCTTGTGGCAATTTATAAGAAAGGTCGAAGAGTATAATGAAGGCACGCCGAGGATGTGGCTAGATTAGGTCGAGGGGAAATGTTACAACCTATATGAAGGTGGATGTTTCTAAAACTTAATTAGGAATGCTAGATAAATGTGAAAGTCTATAGAAGATTATAGAGTGAGGGAGAAGCCTCCAGGTCATCTAAGAAAAATCTAGACATGTCCTAGAGAATTCTAAAGAGTCCTTCAATATTGTAAAATATTAATATTTAGATAGGAGTATTCTAGAGAATTATTTATAGTCATTAAATTGGATAGGTCCGAACTATTTATTAAGGAGATGGAAGATATGAGACCATCCAGGAAATCCAATCCAAAAATATAATTTAGAGTTGTAAGTACTTGAGAGTAATACAAAGAGTTCTCTAATATCTCTTTTGTGTCTTTATTGCTTTACTGACTTAGTATGGGAGATAGACTAACTTGGTCCGGCTTAAGCGAGAAGTGAGCCAAGTGTTGTACGAGAGCTTAAGAAATGTCAAATATGTGACAAAATGCTCTCTTAACAATTAGTCCAATTCTTTTAGGTTTTTTGTATCTTCATGTGATTTAGATATTGGTGACTAACAAAAGAACATGCTCTTTTAACAATTAGTTTAATTCTTTTATGTTTTTTATATCTCTCTATCGTTATTTAATTTCAACTCATTGTTTAATTAAATTTTTTTCATTTGACACCATTCATCAATCTTTCTTTATCCTATACTATCCTCACACTTGTTATTTTTTTCAAATACAATACTAATTATAGAAATTTGATTTCTTACCAAGAAAATTAATGAAAAGGATGATTGTGCTCAAGGTGCTAACAAACAATTTTGGCTATTGGAAATATTCTTATATATTACTTATTACACATTGTAAATGCGAGAGGAAACAATTCTAGCACATCATTGGGAAAAAGTTCTTGTGTTCATGCATAATAATAGGTTTTGTCCATATATAAACTCTCAGTTGTTTTGATTGAAATTATATACTACTTTTTGTGGTGATCAAAACCTTTTGTTTTGCTTAAGACTCTATGTTACAAAGTCATTTATTTTTCATCCAATGTGGCATTTTATCGTCAAATACCGCATATAAATATTTGACACATGACATTATGGGTCTCACAACTCAATAATTCTGATTGTGCTAAAAAAAAAAATTAGCACCTTTTAAAAAATAAAATAATAACAAAAAATAAAGCTAAAAAGACCAATACAGCCCACCCTCAATTATTTCGAACCCATTTGATTTAAACAAAAGCTTCCATTCACTTTCCGCAAAGATTCTCAAGAGACATCCATCAATTTATAATCTCTGAGATGTTAAATCACTGTGATCACCCGCTAGTTACAGATAATGTGAAGATGTCTTAAATAGGAAAGTGAAATATGTGTGACTTTCACATGCAAATTATGGAAAAATGTCAAAATCTTATTTTTAATGTATATTTTCAAAATTAATCACGTGAAAAACTTATCGGGACGTCAATACTGATAACTATCTATATTCTTAAAAGAGAACTGAAGTTTGCACAGTCAGAAAGACATTTTAATCTAATGGAGGTAGAGTTAAGGTTGTGATACAAAAATCGATGAAACATTACGGGGACAAATCAGTAAAAAACAAAGTTTTGAAAAGAAATTAATAAACCATGTAGACTTCGGGGAGGAATTAAATTTACCAAAAAAATTAACTAATAAATGATGGAGGTGCAAAATTGATGTGATTGGATATTTACAAAGTACATTGCTGCAATTAGCCGAAGAGAAAACCGAAATCTTATCGGGAAAACAAAGTTTTATTTTTAGTTGGAATCTAATCATACTCTAATTCCCAATTTCTTGCATCTTTTCCTCAATGAAACACACAGCAAGGCTACCCTAATACTACTAAATAGTCTTAATTAGTTAATTTTATCCATTAGTTAATCAATTAATGTTGAGGGTACTTAATTTTTTTTATTAGATCTTTGCTTACTAAATGATGCCGTACCCATTATATATATAAAAAAAAATTTCTAAATTGTAGATCTTATCACATTTAAATATAATAATTAAAATCATAAAATTAAGTGATTGATAAAGCATCAATTGCAAGATGCCACATTATTTCGTAAATAACCGAGTCGGTTTCCGTGCCATATAGTAAGCTAAACATATTTGTTTCAGTTTAATAACTTATACTATGCTTTGTTGGATTACTAAAATATATTAAATTAAAGATAAAAAATAAAATTTTATCTAATTTCTTAATTTTTGATCAAATTTTTTCTTCCTTCATTCTTATTTATTTATTTATTTTTGATAGATTTTATTGTAAAAAAACACAGCTTGTTTTTCGTTATACATTCGTTTTTAAATAAAAAACTCTAATAATATAAATATAATTTTTTTAAAAAATATTAATATTTTTTTTATAAAATTATATTGAAGAAATAAAGCAAAAATCAATATAAAAATTAAGTAATGAATCTTTTTTAACTTTTTGAAAATATATAAATTTTACACACACACACACAAAAGCAATCAATAAAAATAGTATAATAAGATGTATTTGAATTATTTGATGGTTATTCTAAAATATCATTTTAATTATTTTACTTGAAATAAATTAATTTAGAATAATAAAAATAATTAATAACAAATGATTGATATTATGTATGTAGATACATAGTTAATTTTTAATAAAATTAATGATTTTAATATTTTTTACACATCATGTTCATACTTAGTAGGTTTTATGTGCAATATAAATTAATTTTTTTAAAAAATTTAAATTATAAGAAATATATTGAAGTTAATAAAGTGCAATGTAAAGAACTAAAAAATTTATTCTAATTTTTTTTATTACATAAAGAATAAGAAGAAAAAAGAAGTGAATTCTACTAATTAATTAATTAATTATTTAAAAAAATTCGACCCATACATAGAGAAAAATAAATCATATTTATTAAGAAGTAAAATTATATAAAAAATAAAAAATTAATTTGATGAGAATTTTTTTATAAAAAATGATAAATTGAAGAGATCATTTTAAACAACAAGAATAATATAATCTGGTACATATATGTTTATTTTAAAATCTAAAAATATAAAAGGTTAAAAATATTTTTTAAAAAATACGAAGGATCAAAAATATATTTTAAAAAATAAAGGATCAAAATGAATTAAGGTAAAAATATGAGATGCTAAAGTATTTTTAAAAAACAAGAAGAACCAAAAATATTTTTTTGCAAAACTAAGAGACCGAAATAGAATTAAATGTAAAATTTACAAATGAATATCCAAAAACTATTAAAATGTTACGAAAATACCATTATATAAATTATCAAAAATACCACTTAGAGACAGTAAATAAATAGTGATTGACCATTCATTTGCTCCAAATGTTTCAAGTTTTCTTTAAATTGTAGTTGAAAAAAGCAATCCTAGCATTATTCTATTGAATTTCCAAGAATAGTCTTAATTAAATCCTGATGGGAGAAATCAGGCAGAAGGCTTGGGAGAACATGAGGTTAATAATGTAAATTAACACATGGCGTGGAAAATTCATCATCAACTGCTAACCGATTTCTTGAATTGGAGCGAATTTTAACCCAAAACAAGCAAAGTACGAAATTAAAGAGAGAAAGATAGTATATGAATCGGAACAATTTTCAAATTTTTGCTTGTCTGAGTAATTACGTCGCTGCCTGATTTATGGAAATGGAAGAGGATGGAGGAAAAGTAAGGGCGTTGATAGACAAGGCCACCAATTCCACTGCGGCGCACGTCGACCCTCGCCTCCTCAAAGCCATCAAAACGGCTGTCCGATACTCTGACTCGGAGCTCCGGATCGCCGCTCAAACCCTAATGGATCTCATGAAACGCGACCACTCTCAGGTCCCCTTCTGCTTTTCTCACATTAATATCTTATTTCATCATCATTCGTTTTTTCAATGTGTAATTTTAGGGCAAAATTTATGCTTCAAAATTGAAAAATAAATAAAAAGCAAACTGTGATTCTGCAGGTTAGGTATTTGACGCTTCTAATAATCGATGAGCTATTTATGCGATCAAAGCTATTTAGAACTCTAGTTGTTGAGAATTTAGATCAATTGTTAAGTTTGAGCGTGGGATTTAGAAGAAACCACCCGCTTCCTGCTCCACCGGCTGTTGCATCTGTTTTGCGTTCAAAAGCGATTGAATTCTTGGAGAAATGGAATTCTTCGTTTGGAAATCATTACAGACAGATTAGGTTAGGTTTTGATTACCTTAAAAACGCGCTCCGGTTACAGTTTCCGAATGCTCAGGCGAATGCAGCACGAGTTCAGCAGGAGAGGAGGGAAAGGGAGATGAGGACGAAAGAGATTTTAGTTAAGAAGTTTGAGGCTTTGAAGGAGAACTTATCCTTGTTGAAGGAGGAAATTCGGGAAACGGTTGATGAGATTGGGGAGTGTTTAGAGATTGTTAAGAATAAAGAGGAGAATGTGTTGCTTGGTGTTTTAGATGATGATGATGAGGATTTTGAAGAGTTTCGTCCTTTGGAGTTGCGTCAGCTCCGGCTTGATTCATTGAAAGAGGGGGAGAAGGTTTGTGAGAATAGTGAGAATAAAGTGGTTTTTGATGCATTGAGGGAGTTGTACAAGCTTTTGGTGTCAAAGCATTTGATTTCGGTCCAAGAAGGAATCTCTGTTCTAATCAGAGTTGAAGTGGCAGATACGAGATTAAGAGATTCTATGCTCAAGGAGTTCATTGATATCCGAAATCACCTTCAATCGGTGAAGAAGAAATGTGTTGATTCAGGTTGTGCTCTTCCAGACATTACAAAGCACGACAAAGAAGAGGAAGAAGATTTTTGGGAGGAGGGTAAGGTTGAATCGACTGAACCTGGGAGTTTTAGTGAACCCAATAAGCGATACGAGATTTCTGCTGTGTCATCAACTTCTGGAGAGGTGAAAAATGACCCTTTTAAATGCAGCACTGAGAAGTCGAAACGTGGTGAGTCTCTGGGTTCTGAAGGTGGTGGAACTGATTCCAGCTCGCTTCGAAGCAAGCTGATGGATAAAGCTCCAGTGATAGAGTGGGGCTCTTTTTTGGACTCTTGGGGGTCAAACAGGGATGTTCTAGCCAACAACAGGGGCTTGGAGCTTGAAAGTCACTGGGGTAGGGTGGACCCTGATGCAGTTATTCCGGCAAAGAAAATTGCTGAATTAAACCTTCATGCAACTCTTTACAAAGAAGACCAAGTTGAAATCCCACCATGTCGTGCTCCATTACGTAAGGGTGGACTCTGTCAGAGAAGAGATTTGAGAGTTTGCCCCTTTCATGGACCCATCATTCCTCGCAACGATGAAGGAAATCCTATCAATCAGAGCAATTCAACAAGTGATATAAATCTAGGGACTGATTTAGTCGAGCAATTAGCCAAACAAGCTGTGAAGAATGTTCGGGACAGAGATAATGAGGAAGCAAGGAAAAGAAAAATGGACAAACAGTCACAGAAACGTGCTAAGCTTGCCAAGATACGGGAACACAATGAAGCTGTTCTACGGGATGCTGCAGTGGCCTCAACTTCGGGATCTTCGGTCATTGGGGATGATGTCGAGGCATCCAGCAGAGACAAGTTGTTGGCTAGAAACAAAAAGAAACTCTCGCATCCATGTTGCGGAAGAAAGTAACCACAAAAGATAGGTTGTCTCAGAGGCTTTTGAATACCAGGGCAAGCGATGCAACGACAAGGCAGCTTACACTGGATGCAGATGCTAATTATAGAGAAGCCTTTCCAAATCAATGGTAGATCATATGTACATTTCCTTGTTAGAATGTCGGGTTTTCTTATAAGGACCAAGCATCAGAAGATACTTATGCTGGTAATGTCGAATAGGTTCATTCATATTGTCTGACAAAACAGTTTCAGTTGCATATTGAAGCAGAACTTTGCTTTTCCCATTCTGTGATGTTGTGCATCCACTCAATACCAGTTGGCCTTGAAGAAGAGGGAAAGATGAATACTCTTGTAAATACATGCTTTCATTGGAAAATTTTGTAATTATACGTTTTATTTTCTTTCCACAAACATTGTTGCGACATAGTTTAATCACAGGACAAAAATTAAGGATTGGATCGTTGGAGATTATTTATATGTTTTGAGTTTCGCAGATATGAACTCTGTTGCAGACTTGCAGTTGCCAATCTGTTTCTGCAGATTGCATGCTTTTCAGATGGCAGGAATTAGTTGTCTGGTCGGTCTTGCCATGCAATGATCCTTAGCTTGGTTACTTGGTTAACTGAAGTATAGAGTACACATTAACAAGTTTAACATAAGAAGCAACGTGCTTCATCTCAGAAATTAACCAAAATCCCTTTATTCTCATCACACGACGCATGGAGTGTGTGTTTGGTAATGTTCAAAAAAGCATCAAATTGGATTTTTTGGCTCGTCCGACTGTACTTTCCAGCTGCAATTGACATGTATATCAAACGGGGTTATAAATTAGAATCCAAGGCATGAAAGCCTGGAAGAACCAAAATTTGTTATCAGGCCCCATTTTATAGCAAACCAAATCTAGGTATGGATCTCAACTACTAACCAGTGCTTGAATGGTCAGTCGAGAAACAACGGAGAACCAAAACCGTTATTCTAGTTAGCTACATTCTTTATTGAGGTAGACCCAAAAAAAAAAAAAAAAAAGTGGCAAAAGGAGAATTGGAATCTCTTTGCACTTAATGGCTCTTTCATGTTGAAGTAACGTTGAAACCAAGCCATTCTTTTATGCCCATTATCTTTCTAAATAAATCTTGTTTTTAACCATGATGACGCAGGATAGATGCCAATCTGTCCACGCTTGGGAGACCACAAATATATTACTGCTACTTTCTTGGTGCCAAGCAATAATGATGGTGGTGTCTTGATGGATCTGTATTAATCATGAAATCTAAAGAGTCATAATAATCTTGACTAGTTTGTTAGTCGTTGCCCACTCTTATCGATGCCCTCTGCGATATCAAGGTGGCAGTGCACCTGTAAAGTTCTTACTATTTGGGTAGAAGAATTAAAACACATACTACTGGAGATTAACAATAATATGCTCCTGAAATACCGACGATACAAATGGTCAAAAACCAATTACCATTATTCTAATAACTTGAATTGGTCTCGGTCAATTCAGATGTGCGAGCCTTTTTCTTTTATTCACAAACCGATAGAATAGATGTACTCACAATGAAACAAAGTCAAGATAAATCACAGGGAAGTTCCTCACCAATAATATTAAACTAAATATAGAGGAACTGAAGAAAAACATTCAAATAACAGCGAGTGTGCAAGCTTGAAGGATTGAATTTAAGTTGAATTTAATGAAAAGCGGCCCAGACGGCCTTAGAATTTCATCCTGTTCCATATTTCTTACCCTGAGAATTTGCCCATTCTAGCATTGCCCACTTATACGACATCACTGTATGATCAAGATAACTAGGACCCATGATTAAAAAGAAAAAAGTAAGTTCTTTTCTCTTTTTGATATAATGGAGTAACCAGTCCGGACTTACTTATTTCCTAAGGTAATATCCTGAAATTCTAAGCTTTATGGTGTATTATTTCCACACTGATATACTAAGAAAAGATGTTTCTCATCTTAATTATGAACATCACAAGAGAACATTGAGAATTGTTGAAATTAATACAGCCCATAGATATGAGAGATCCTAGGAAGCTATAGCTACTAAACAAGCAAACAAGATAACCACAAAATGTTAATTCGTTAGTAAATAAACGTCGATTAATAGATTAAGTCAAGGGTTTAAATTTTTTAAGAATTTAATCATGCATTGAGAAGTATTTCTTAATTATCATAAAGAAAATATTATTCTCAAAATATGCAAAAACTGATTAAAAGCATCGCTATTGCTGAACAAAAAAAAAAAAAGGCGCAAACCAGTTGATACAGCGGTATAATGCGCACCATCCATGTACAAACCGTCTTTGCCCAAGCCCCCCTGGTCCAGGCCCCTTGTTTGCTTTCCATTAACTACCACCACCAACGACAATGAGGTTAAAAAAAAAAAAAAAAAAATTGCTTCCCATTATTAAAACTGAATGAATCTAACAATCTAATAATCATAGTACAGTTATCCCTTTTCATTATTCCACCTAATCTAATCTCCTTCCATCAAAACCTTCTTACATTTCCTCTCTCTTCCCTGAAACCGTTTGATGTAGATCCAATGTCTCACACAATTTGGACTGTGACTTTCCCGTCTCGCTCCCTCTCTCTCACCGATAAAGAAAAGCACCCTTTTTTGATGTAACTAACTCAAACAGATCTTCATCTCACTACCGATTCAACTCAGTTCCTCCCTCTGTTTCTGATTTGGTAAATCGACATCCCCTTTCTTGCGTTCATTCTTCTTTCAAGGAAAATAAAGACAAGGATTAGAAATACCCAGAAGAGAGTTGAAGCAGTTATAAATTTGATTGGAAAGTTTTTCTTGTTTTGGTGGTGTAGGAATGGAATTGGATAGCATTGAATGTGTGCCATCCTTAGATTTAACAGACGAGGATGAGATCCACCAACACCACCATCTCCATCATTTCCCTTCTGTTTCAAAGCCACACGCCGCCACCACCACCAACAACAATAACAACAATAACCATACTAATACTGTGGCTTCAGCGTTTCACACTACTAGTGTTCATGAACTCCTTGAATGCCCTGTCTGTACAAATTCTATGTACCCTCCTATTCATCAGGTTTGCCCCCCTTTTTTCTATTTTTAACAACATTATGCATATGTTTTGCTTTTCCTTTTTTGGGTTTTAAATTTGTTGAATGCTTGATGTGGGTTCGGTGTGCTTTTTGTTCTGTTGTTGTTGTTGTTGATTGAACCGTGGAAGTTGCAGACTTGATTTTGTTAGGATTTGTGTCTGTTGCTTTAATTGGTTGGATTGTGGAGATTTAGGTCGCACCTGTGGAAGTTGCACCTGTGAGGTATATTTATTTATGGGTTTGGAAGATTTTTGGTTTTTTGACTTTTGTGGAATTTAGGTTTTTGCTAGTTTGGGTATGTGAATATAGTCCATAGGAAGCAAATACATATACCCTCTGCAGCGAAAGTGAATGGTCATTTGGGCCCAATCGTTTGAGTCTTGTGCTTGGATCTGGTTATAGAAATGCAAGGGCATGGTGGGGGTGAGAATTAGATAGAGCGCTAGAATATGTGCTAGGGCATGGCATTGATATTTGGATGCTAGAGTGGTACAAGATTCTGAAAATGCAATTGCAATATCAATTTTCGAAACTTGAAGAACTAAATAAAGAAGTCCATTCAAATATTTGTGATGACCTCGATTTTATTTATATGTTGGGGCAGTTGATAAAAATATGGAGCGAACTTTTCAGTTAAAACATTAAAGTTCGAAATCTAAAGGGTTGTGTGGATTTTAGTTGGATAGTGGACCTTTGAAAACCATCTGGTGACTTCTTTATAGTGGGATGTGGGGGTTTACCTGTAGACAGTAGACCTTATCTTACTGTTTCCATGCAACAGAGGAAAACTTGTGCTAATAAATGCTGTGGAGGAAGCAGCAATCGCAATCTTTGTCCTTTACTGTTATTGCTTTGTGCTAGCTCCCAAAATTTATTATGCATTCTAGATAAAATTGGCTGATGTTGTTAACAAATTGTTGTTCTGCAGTGCCACAATGGCCATACACTCTGTTCAACCTGTAAAACACGAGTACACAATCGGTGTCCCACTTGTAGACAGGAGCTTGGTGACATTAGATGTCTAGCATTGGAAAAGGTAGCTGAATCACTTGAGCTGCCTTGCAAATACATGTCGCTTGGATGCCCAGAGATTTTTCCATACTACAGTAAACTGAAACATGAGACCCTGTGCAATTTTAGGCCATACAACTGTCCATATGCTGGATCAGAGTGTGCTATTGTTGGGGATATCCCATACCTTGTTGCTCATCTGAGGGATGATCACAAAGTGGACATGCATTCTGGGTGTACTTTCAACCATCGTTATGTCAAGTCTAATCCTCGTGAAGTAGAAAATGCTACATGGATGTTAACTGTAAGAATATGTCTATCTTATATAATTGAGTTTTGCTCGGTAATCACTTGCAGGTATACCTGGATGCACATTACATGCTTCGCTCTCAATTTTTTTCTTTTGGTTCTTTAGATCATGTTAAGACATGGTAACCAAACCTAGATCATGGCAAAGCATGGAAAGTGATATGACCATTTCTTGTCAAGTGAGATCACGTGTGCCATTTATACAAATAACTTCTTCACTTCTTGATTTTCTCATTAAAGAGATCATATATGATGGCTATGCTGCTTATATATGTGCAGTAGATTGTAATAGCTGTGATAACATAGCGGTAAGATAGAACTTAAAGCCCAAGGGATAGGTTGAGTGGTAAGACATCTTGGATTCTGGCCTCATTTAAGTCTTTACCTGAGTTCGATCCACATTACCAACTTCTCTCGGCCACTCCTATTATTTAGTCTGGTAATTCTCTGGTTTGTTTCACGTTAAGAGATTGCCCATGGTGAGAAATTAGATTTGTGGTTAAAAGTTTCAGGCAACTTTGTTAAAAGGAACTAATGAAGAGTGCAATGTTAAAAAACTAACAACTATTATTTCAAGCAGCTGACCAGTGCTTTCTTTACTGTCTTGAAACTATTTTCGTTGTTCTAAATAAATATTGAATTTCTTGGTGTACGTGAAATATTACAAATGTTGTAAGCTAAATTGAAATGTGTATGATATGTGGAGTCTGCTATGTAATCTTGAGCTTGTGTTTTGCCTGCACTGTCTTGGTTTATGCCTTCACTGGTCCTGGTGCAGAGGGGACTCTCTTACATCGTGTTAGACAAATTGACTTAAGGAAAGATCAATATTTTTTATTTGTGCTTCATAGAGTGAGTGGCATAACATAGCATTCGTTTTATACAGGATACATTTTCTTGCATAGGCAATTCCTGAACTCTTTTTAATCATTTTGCTTTTAGGTTTTCCACTGTTTTGGCCAGTATTTCTGCCTCCATTTTGAAGCTTTCCAGCTTGGGATGGCTCCTGTCTACATGGCATTCCTCAGATTCATGGGTGATGAGACAGAAGCCCGGAATTACAGCTACAGCCTGGAGGTCGGGGGAAATGGTCGGAAACTTATTTGGGAAGGCACGCCACGGAGTGTAAGAGATAGCCACAGGAAGGTTAGGGACAGCCATGATGGACTTATTATACAACGTAACATGGCACTTTTCTTCTCTGGAGGAGATAGGAAGGAGTTAAAGCTGCGAGTTACAGGGCGGATATGGAAAGAACAGCAGAATCCAGAAGGTGGGGCATGCATTCCCAACCTTTGTAGTTAGGCTAATGATCACTTTCTTGCACTCTACTGTGTGCTCTATTTCTTGTAATACTGTCACTAAAATGCGGATCATATTAAGAATCCTCATGTATAATACTGGAGGCCTAAGCTTTATAAATTGTTAATAAACTTCCTGAAGAAACAGTCCTGGCTGTGTTTTTGATCAATGGTTTTACCAGCTGCGCCAATTCTCATCATTTAACTCTCTGCTTCTTATTGTAATTCCTCAAATTGGATACTGGCTTAAGTTGCTCGAATAAGGAACGAAACTGCAATTTTGTACCCCTGATGGGGGAAACAGCAATCGTAAAAGTCTCCTTTCGTCAAGGCAAGTGATATGCCAATTGACAAGCCAAGCCCACACAAGTATTAAGCCCAAAAAAAAACAAAAAGCAAATACGGGTTTTCTTTTAGAAAAATTATCGATAAGTTCATTTTTAAAAGACTCGAAAATCCCATCACAAGTTTAAAAATGATAAGTCTACTTTTATATTTTCTTTTCCACGGAAGTTCAAATTTATCGTCCTTTTTTTATATATGCGACGAATTTACTGTACTTTTTTCTATACTAAAAAGATAACCATTATCGTACCCAAAAAAATTTTTTTAAAAAGGGCGATGGGTACTGTAGAAAATATAATAAAATATTAACTTATTCATGACAAAAACTTAAAAGATCCAAGTTACTGTTCTTTGAGAAGTATAGAAACTTTTTTAGAGTTGGTGAGGAGGTAAAACGGCCTATAAATATGTCGTTTTTGTGGCAAACGGAAAACATACACTGAAGAAAAAAATGAAAAATTATAGAAAAACGATTTTTTTCCGTGCGAGTGAGGGGTTTTAGCAATGGCTTAGAAACCCAGAAAACCTCTCTCTCTCTCTCTCTCTTTGCAATTATATCTTTCTTCGCTAATGGAGCTTCTAAATCCTTCACTTCCAACCAAACCTCTAAATTTCTTTCCCACTTCCCTCTTCACTCCTAAATTCTCTATCAAAATTTCCCACGGCAAAACCCCTTCCAAACCCCCCGAAAACCCCTCAATTCCGTTCTATTTAACTTTTTCTACCGCAAGAAGAACCTTTCATGTTTCAGCTCATTTTGGTCGATCCACTCGTGGTCGCAGAAACTCACTAAGGAAAAAACTCATTGATGATCAGCAGGTGCGTGAAAAGACTCCTACTTTTCAAAATTCAGGCTATGATTTGGAAAAACCAGAATTTAATTTTGGTAATACAAATGATTCTCTAGAGAATTTAGATCGTGTTAGTGTAAAAGAGTGTGATTTGGGTAATGAGTTTGATGTTGATGAATCAGAGCGTTTAATAGGAGGGAAACAAAAAGTGGAAAAATTGGACGATTCTGTTTTGTTGAGCAAGTTGGAGATGTGGGTTGATCAGTACAGTAAAGATACTGCGTATTGGGGTACTGGGTCTGCTCCCATTTTTACTGTTTGTCGTGATTTAGAAGGGAATGTGAAGAGGGTTTTAGTTGACGAGGATGAGATTTCAAAGAGAAGCGGAGTTGAGAAGCGAGAAGTTGGGGATTTGACAGGGGTGAATTCGAAAATTTTGTATGCAAAAGGTTTAGCTAGGGATATGGAGAGAGGTGGAAATGTGATTCCTAGGAATAGTTCTATTGCTAAGTTTGTTGTTGATGGGGTGGAGTCTCGGTTTTTTAACAGAATTCAAGGTGTTGTTCATCACCCGGAGTTTATTCCTGTAGTCTCGAGAGTTGGGACGTTGGTGTTTTGTGGTTTTTTAGCTATTTGGGCAGTTAAGAAGTTATTTAGTTTCGGAAATAAGGAGGAGCAATACACGGATTTGGAAAAGGAAATGATGAGGAGAAAGATAAAGTCTAGAAAGGAGAGAGAGATGTTGGAGAAGGGTAGAGTTGAAGTCGTTCCAGAACCTTTGGAGCCACCCATGGAAATGACGGGAAGGCCTAAGCTGGATAAGCAAGAATTGATGAAAAATATATTTAAAGCAAAGGCAATCTCAAAAAATGAATTGCTTTTGGTGGATTCTTCTACTTCTCAAACGACTAATGCTATGGATTTTGATCGTGAAATTCAGACAATTAGGGAAATGGCAAAGCAAGTCCGGGGAAGTGAGAGAGAACTCAGTAAGGGTAGGAAAGAAAAGCAGCCTCCGAACGAGGAGCCATTCAGTGAGATGCAGATGGTTGAAGAGCACAAAGAGGTTGAAAGTTTTCCAAGTGCAACTCAAAATAAATATTCAGTAGATAGAAGGGGTGTGGATGTAATTAGAGTGAAGAAAACTTTAAATGGAACGGAAACTGGATATCGTCATAAGATATCTGCTGAAGAGAATAATGTCATGCAGGAATCTAGCATTTCAAGGATAGATTTTTCAGATGACGGGGAAACATTGGTCAGTGGAGAAATTATCCATTCTTTTGATGTTCCTGATAGTGATTCATGCATGTCAAAGAACAGGTCTACTAGACCAAAACCAAGGGTTATACGGTCTGTCAAAGAAGCTAAGGAGTTTCTTGCCAACAAAGGTCTCAAACATATACAAGGACCACAATTTAATGCAGTGCAGGAAAGTACTACTGTGTTGAGCGTTCCTGATGCTGAAGAAACCAGTGGGAAAACAAGTTACAGAGGGGAGGTGGAAGAAAGGGCGTCTGAAGCAATCACTTTAGGCAGAATATCAGAGTCAGTGCCTGCTGCAAATGCATGTGAAGACCTTAATCCAAAGGAGAAGGAATTTGTTCCGACCAAGAAAGGCGATTCCAAGGACCAACAGGGAGTGCATGATCTTCACAAGCCCAGCACTTACTTAAATCACGACATTAAAGGAAGCAGTAAAGAGAGAAGACAGTCTGTAAGGACAGAAAACTGGATAGAGAAAAATTTTCATGAAGTTGAACCCATAGTAAAGAAGATTGGGGAGGGATTTAGGGAAAACTACAAGGTTGCGAAAGAAATAGTAGATCAACACCCAAATACAAGTATTGATATAACACAGCTTGAGTATAATCAAAATGTTCATGAACTTGAATGGATGAAAGATGATGGCCTTAGAGATATTGTTTTTCGAGTCAGAGAAAATGAGTTGGCAGGGCGAGATCCATTTAATCTAATGGATGCTGAAGAAAAACTTAAATTCTTCAAAGGTCTTGAGAAGAAAGTTGAGAAAGAGAATGAAAAGTTGGCTCAAGTGCATGAATATCTCCACTTAAACATTGAAAATCTTGATTATGGAGCAGGTAGTTCATTGTTTTTAGACCAGGTTATTTCATGGACTTTTCATGTTTTGAATCAAATGGACCCTTGCACAGAGAAAATGATCAAAATTTGCCAGTTGGATTGGTTAGATAACCTGTTGTGCATTTTCATCACCTTATGCCAAATGGTTAAGTTTAAAGTTACACGTTATGGAAAGTGCTTTCAGAATTTTTTGTTGAATTTATGCTGATGTTATTTTTTTTTTTTCCAGATGGTATCAGCTTATATGATCCCCCAGAAAAATTCATACCAAGATGGAAAGGGCCACCGTTAGAGAAGAATCCTGAGTTCCTTAACAACTTCCTCGAACAACGGAATGCAATTGTTGCTGCAAATGCCGGTGAGTCGTACTCTGTGAAGAAAGATGAAGGTAACAGTGTTGGCACTTCTCTGCCAGACTATGCTTCAAAGAAGTTAAGTCGTAAGGATCCAAAAAACTCAAAGGTAATTATAGAGGGAAGTGATGGCTCTGTTAGAGCTGGTAAAAAATCAGGTAAGGAATATTGGCAACACACGAAGAAATGGTCTCGTGGGTTCTTGGAATCTTATAATGCAGAGTCAGATCCGGAAGTTAAATCAACTATGAAGGATATAGGGAAGGATTTGGATCGATGGATAACTGAAGAAGAAATACAGGAAGCCGCTGATCTTATGACCAAAATACCAGAAAGAAATAAGAAGTTCATGGAAAAGAAAATCAACAAGCTAAAAAGAGAAATGGAATTGTTTGGACCACAAGCTGTAGTGAGCAAGTACAGTGAATATGCAGAAGAGAAGGAAGAAGATTTTTTATGGTGGTTAGATCTTCCACATGTACTGGTGAGTGTGTATTAATCATTTGCTCTTCTTTTCTGTGGTTGTCGAAGTTCTCTGACTTTCAAAGTCATGCACATTAACATGTACCATAAACTGTACTCTTTTTCTGCTTATGCTATATGGTTCACTAAAGATCATGTACATAACATATGTATATTTGCATGATTGTTAAATTCACGGGTTTCTCTGTGGCAGTGCATTGAATTATACACAATTGAAAATGGGGAGCAGAAAATAGGATTTTATTCATTGGAGATGGCTGCAGACCTTGAATTGGAACCAAAACCATGTCATATGATTGCATTTGAGGATGCTGGTGATTGCAAAAATCTTTGTTGCATTATTCAGGCTCACATGGATATGCTTGGAGCTGGCCATGCCTTTGTGGTTCCAAGGCTACCCAAGGTAAAGGTTTTCTGTTTCATAATATAAATTCCTGTTCTTGAGCAAATCATGGTGTTTAAGAGAGAGAGGACCAAGCATGGCCCATTTGAGCAATAAAAGGGATAAGCCAACTCCTGTTATTTGCTGCTTTTAGAAAATCATCTAGCCCGCCAAAATGGATCTATCATTTGTGTATTTGTAAGTGTACATCCACGAGTCTCTGTTTGCGTACCTTCATAAAGATTTTTTCTAAGTTCGACACTTGGAGAGTCCTGAAAAATATCATCTGCATTCGCATTCAATAAACAAAAAAATTGGATGTAAACAGTATAGAAACAATCATGTCCACCACACCTTGTGCTCTTTAGTTGTTGCGTTCTGTAGGTTGAGGATATATCAAGACTGCTGACTGCTAGATGTCTGATTTTGTTTTTAATTCCATGTAGAAAGGTGATGGGAATTGTGTTTTCCTTTTCATTTATCCTTTACTACTTTGATATGAAAATCTTGTTTTCTATCCTTTTTACCTTGGTTGACCTTCTCTAGGATGCCTTTTGGGAAGCCAAAGCAAATGGTTTCAGTGTTACTGTCATCAGGAAAGGGGAGCTACAGCTGAATGTTGACCAGCCATTGGAAGAGGTTGAAGAACAAGTTGCTGAAATTGGTAGTAAAATGTACCATGACAAGCTCATGCGGGAACGATCTGTCAATATAAACTCCCTAATGAAGGGTGTCTTTGGTGTTGGTGGCCAAGCAACCAGCCTGAGAAGGTACTTCTGCTTCTTGCTTATGTTGCAGCTGAAAAAATAGTTTGTTTTTTGGGGCTTGCTGCCCCTTTTGTACCAAAAGTAGATTTGAATAATTTGAGGATGGTATCTTGAGGGACAAGATAACAAAATGTTTTGAATAATTTTGCAAAATTGCCCTTGTTGCATTCCCTAATTGTTCTGTCCTCAGGAGAAGGTCAAAGCGGAAGCTGAAGAAGCCTGGGAAGAAATGAAGATGATATCAGCCTAACCATGATTCAGTGACGGGTAACTGCAGTTGACTGTAAAAAGTCAAGGACTCTGCGAAGCCTTCTATAATGTGTATCTGCATATTGTATATGGGTCTCGCGGGGGCTAATTCACACAGCTAAATGCAGAGCAACCATCTCTGGACCTGCTTATTCGGGATGCCATACTCTTTCAAAATCAATCTGTTGCATCTTGTTGCAGGTACACGAAATTGCACAGATGGTGGTGACAACTTGGACATCAAGCTCTGATAGTCTTTTTGTATGGGATGGGTCCAATTCTACTTTTCTCCGAAAGATGGATTTAGACTGTAGCTGGAGTTGGAACTGGAGCGAATTCATACCTCCTTGCTAGCTTAATCCACTTTTAATAAAGAATCTCTGTCACTTTGGTTCTCGAGTTTGCATGAATTTGCACCATAAGGACTGTTCTGCCTCTGTAGCAATCAGCATCACATTGGTTCAGTGACCTAGCAAGAGCTGTCCAATTCCTGTGGTCCTCAGAAAGTCTGGTTGTAACAAGTTATCACCTGCCGGAGGATGGTAAAAATTCTAGAAATCTTTTTTGAACCAGACTGGGTATTCCCAAAATTGTAAATGTTATAATAAATGCCTTGTTCTACAATATCAACTGCCATCCCAAATATTTAAAATGGTTGCGCCATAGCAGCCGCCTAGCCACATGATTACCTATTACCTGAAAACCCAAAAGAACCGGGACAAATGAACGGTAACCACTGTTCATTTACTGTATCCCAGTTCTTTGGTTTGAATTTTTTTTTTTTGGTGTTGAACAGCAGCCAAGGCCCGTTCAACCCAACCAGCACCAGCCTGGCCTTCATCCTTTCCTTTTTTTTTTTTCCTTTTATATATATATTATCATGAAATTAAGTATAAAAAATATAAAAAATAAATCATTATTTTTAAAAAAATTTTACGTACAGTTTGAAAATAATAAAATATATATAATATTTTTTCAAAATTTAATTTGAACATATATATCTGATTATATTACTCTTGTTGTTTAAAATTTATTTCTTCAATTATTTATTTCTTATTGAAATTCTCATCAAATTAATTTTTTGACATAATTTTATTTGTTAATAGATTTGGTTTTTTAATATATGAATTTTGGAATAAAATTTTAAAACGTTGGTGTTTTATTTTTTAAATTCTGATATTATATATATATATATATATATATAAAAATGAGAGAGAGCTAAAAGTATATTTTAGATAGTTTGATTCAATTTTTTTAAAAAAAGTTAATAATCAATTAATAAAATTCACAAGTTTTATTTGTTTTTTTATATATATTTATTCAGAATTTATCTGAACTAATTTTGTTGTAGTTTTTATTTTAATCTATTGAGTTTAATATATGTCATACAATTTAGGTGGATTATTATTATTATTTTTTTTGTATATTTTTCTATTTGTTCTTTATACTCCGAATCTTATATATATATATATATATATATATATATATATATATATATATATATATCGAACTAATTTTATTGTAATTTTTATTTTAATCCATTGACTTCAATATATTTCATACAGACTTAGGAGGATTTTTTTTTTTTTTTTAATATTTTGTTCTTTATATTTTGAATCGTTAAGTGTGTGTGTATATATATATATATATATATATATATATATATATATATATATATATATATATAATTTTATTAGAAATTAACTATATATTTGCACACATAATACTAATTATTTGTTATTTATTTTTTCATATTATAAATTTTTTTGAGATAAAATAAGTTAGATAATGTTTTGAAAGAACCTCATAATTATTCAAATACAAATTTTTATGCTAATATTATTCAGTATTTTGATAATAAATATATGTAAATCAAACAATTTCGCTCAATATATAAATTCGATTTACATTAATCGTCATAAATAAAATTTCTATTCATACTCTAACATATAAATCGTTAATCTTATATATATATCGATTATTTAACAGTAAAATAACGTAGATATCTAATTAGTTATATCTCAAATAGCAGTAACATTGAAAAAAAAATCCCGTAAGGAATCTTCCGTTCTGAACTTGTATCCAGCACCGGCTATGATTGCTGAGCTGATCTTACATAGGTAATATGGTTGAACTTCAATTTGCATTAATCGATTGTTTTTGGGTATAGAGAAATCAAAGGGAGAAACAATAAGATTAGAAAATATAGAGATTCCTGCACCAAGTTTAATCTAAACCAAAGTCACCACAAAAACCATAGAGGCCTTGCTGCTTCCCATAAAAGGTTAGGGTGATTAACATTTGTCCAGCGCTATCAATCAGCAGCTCGCACTAACAGCACTAATGATGTCCTAGCGAGCTGATTATTCTGAGGAATACAATTTTCCAGGAGAAATGATTTAAGATGAGCCAACACGCTCACACAAACAAAATTCAGAAAAGACAAGACAACAAGCTTGCACCTGCTCCATAACTCCCAACCCTAAATATAAACACAACATGATTTATAAGTTGACAAACATCACCAATGCGAAAAAGAGTCTGGGGAAAGAAAAGAACTAAGAGAAATGTTCCATCCTCAATACCAGTTGAAAAGTAAAAATACTATTAAATGTGTTCATATCATAAAAGAATCAAGACTGTTTTTCGGTCCAATCAGAAAAGATCCAACTGATTGTCATGAAAGAATATGAAATCAATGATGAAATGAAGGCAATGTACTTTAACTAAAGTTATAGACAATATGTACGATAATGCATGTACATATTCACCAATATATACCCATGTTATCAACATAATTCAGCAATTTATCGAGGCAGATCCAGCAATCTCATCAAGGCGGTGATCCATGATAAGTGATAGTGTTTCAAGGAATGCAGCTTCACTTGTTACAGGAAGTGTGGAATCCTGTGCTTCTTGGACAATCTCCTCAATAACAGATTCCTTCTTCAATGTCTCTCTGCACATTATACTTCCAATGGCAAAAGGAGTGAGACCCCTCTCCACTCCTTTCTTCAGGAGCATGGTGGATATGCGAAAAGTGCGTGCACATGCAACTGGCATGTCCCATCCATGAAACCTCAGAAGGGCAATATCCTCTTCAGCATCCAGTGATTTTATGTAGTCAATAGTCTTGGAGTCATAAGGTTGACGAGCTTGGGGCCAATAAAGCCATTCAAATGTGCAATCTTCAAACTGCAGAAAGCAAAAACTACATGATTATGTTTTGAAAAAGTGAGCAACAAACAACTAATATATGATGGTAATAATGCTAGTGGTGAGCCCAGCCATAAACTGCTGCAATTGAAATGACATGCTGCATCGCAAACTCAAATCAGATGAACCAAAACAGAAAAAGGATAACATCGGAACAAACAAACATTAAATATAACGAGAGAGATGACATAAATGAAGTTGGTGAGGATAAAGGATAAATGGTGTAACGCAGATAGCAACTTACACTTTCAGGCAAACAATATCCGTGATCAATTGGAATCAACACAGTCTGGCCATTTTCTTGATCTTTGTCCAACAAAATATTCCCAGCATGCCTATCTGCGTTGGCCATCCTAATATCCAACACGGAGATTTTATGGACTTCCTTCAATGGAAAAGCCCCAGGTCCCATATCCTCACAGCTTCCATTGTTCTCCATAAACATCTGCAGGGACCCAATCTTGACGGTTACACCCTCTGGATGGTTGAAACCTTTGTGCAAGCACTTGACCATAACTGTGGGAGGGACCCCAGCAAAGCCCTTACTTCCACCAAACAATGATCTGTGTCCACTCTCTGGATGATCTAAAATGTAAGCCGCAACTTCCCTGAAAGCCCCTTCTCCAACTCTAGTACCCTTTTTCAAGCCTTCACCATCCAAAGACAATGGCAGCCCTTGAGGGTTGTTCACAGCCATAGGTTCCTCATCAATCGGCTTAAAAACAGAAACAAACTTCTCTCCATGTGAATCCTGCATGAAATAAGCCCCTCCTGTACCCTCCATAGACCTGATCGGATCAAATCCAGCATCCAATCCATCAATGGTAGCATTAACCATATCCCAGATCAGAGACGGAAATTCAATTTTGGGATTAACAATAATTGGCTCCAACAAAAAATCCCTATCAGGAGGCTTTCTCGGTACAATCTCTCTATCAACTTCATCACCTCTCCTATCATTCTCTTCACTAGCATCATATTGTCTCCTAACATTCTCTCCCTCATTCAATCTCGGCGCCACGATATCCAATTCAAAATTCTTCTCCACAGGCCTAGCCCTAACTTTTGACGATTTCCTCACTAACAAATGAATTGCAGCATCATTATGATTATTATATCTACATACATCATCAATTAGCCTCTGATCCTCAAGGGGCTCCCCCTCACAAACAACCTCTTGCTCATCCAGATCATCAAATTCCTTCTCTTTCTTTGCAACCTGTTGCTTCACATACCCAACATCCCTCCCTCGCTCCACATAAAACGTGAACTCTTTCCCACTTGTGCTCCTAACTTTTATAACCTGAAGATCCGAAAGCCTAAGAACTAAATGCAGAACATTCCCATCCGTGACCCCATAATCACGGACAAGAGAATTGCTCCGCGCAAGCTCGCGGCCTCCACACACCAATTTTTGGTTCTTTACAACAAAACCCTTATAAGATTGAATCCGTAACTTCACAGATTCAATAGAATCAGACTCTAGAACCCGCATAGGCATCACAGACCCCGAAACAGAGAGATATATCAAAATCGACTCATCAGGGCATGGAACTAGTGGCCAGCTCATGAACTTAGGGGAAAGAACGGGTTCAGTTTGAATTGGACTTATGGCCACACCTGAAGACATCTTACTTACTTTTTTGTTTTACAAAATTAAAATTCTTGTACAATACATTTGGATTTGACGGGAATCCAATATACACATGATCAAAAGAAATTACCCATATTTTCCCTTAATGATCACCTAATTAATAATTAGATGATCAAAAAACAACCCTACAATACGAAACTAAAGAATCGGGCTTTGGATTGAGGGTTAATCAATCAAGATTAGGGCGAAATTAGGGTTCGGTGATTTGGGATTACGAAATGAAAAGAATTACTTTGGAAACATCTAAGAACAGAGAAATATCGAGAAAGAAAGAGATGTGGGTTCTTACCGGGACAGGCAGAACCAAAGAGAAGAGGAAGGAGGAAATGGAGCTTTAAAACTTTCTACTGTCTATTTTTTTGGTCATCGTTAATGCCTAAGATTTGATGTGTTTGCTAACGTGAAAAGAGGGAAACCTAGCCAGCCTAAGCCAAGACCAAGAGAGACAGACAGACGAGTTTTTCTACGCTAGTAACAACATTCCAACTCAGTATCAGTATTATCGAGTTGGAAAGCTCCCTAATCAAACAATACTATTATGAAAATAAAATTTTATATTTGTAGAAAAATATAGGATTTTTAAAAAATTGTATTTTAATTAAAAAAAATTATAACCATTGTATTAAAATAATTATTTTTTATATAATATATAGGTAGTTAATTGGTTTAGCTTTACAATGCTGAATTGGACCAGTGTTGAATCTTCCCAGAAAGAGGGAGGGAGGTGGAGGAAAGCGCGTAGCCGCCCGCGGCTAGAGCGCGTTGGAATTGCACCTTTTTGACACGCCGAAGGGGTAGGGGGTATTTTGGTCAATAAAACTACAGAAAAAGGAATATTCCTAGTATACTATGCCGATACCTAATAACTATCTTAGTCGAGGCCGAGCTGTTGTTCAATTGTTCCTGCTTTGGAGTGGCCTTCAATTTTAAAAAGCTCACGCCAAGTTTTGAAGTTCTTTGTTTTTTGGGTTTGAAAACGAGAGCTTTTAGATTTTTTGAAATAACCAATCCTTAGATATGTTGATTTTATTAATGGTTAGGGCATTATTAAGCCAACTTTTGTATAAAGATTTTCACTACTTTTGACCTTCTACCCTACGTGGGCTGCCTCTCGTTGTATCACGGCTCAGATCTTGCTTTGGAAAAAAAAAAAAACAAAAAGGTTAAGAAACAGTCGAGCTAACTAGGCACCATTTGCAGGGATTCATAGTCATAAAATAAAGCAACAAAATCTAAATCCTCGTCTGCACAACTATTGATTTTTTATTTTTTATTTTTCAATTTGATGAATGGGGCAACCATTGACAATCGTCCTTCTTTTTCTCAAACCAATCTGCCCCATGGGATGGAACTCATCTTCTAGAGACATTCGTCTTCTATTTGACTTTTGTTGTTGTTGTTATTATTATGCAAACACAAAGAAACGTTGACGTATTGGGTTTGGACACATGATTTACGGTCATACATTACTGCCAGGACCACTTCACGCACGGACCATGGAGAAACGTATTCTACTTTGGTAAAGGGGCCATTGAGGAATTTTAAATGTACGAATTCTACAACATATTTCGCTGCTTTCAAGATTTTAGAAACAACTCAAACAAGGCTGCCGCTTTGAAATTGGCGATATCTTTCCACGATAGATCCCTGTTCTCCATTTTTTTTTTTTTAGTATAAAGATTGGAAAAACAGAAAATGAGTTACGAGGAGGAGTGCTTTTTTTATTTTTTGGAAATGCACAATCGCATAAGTATTAATGGTGGCAAGGTCCTTGACTTTTTTTTCCTGATCTTCTTCCTTTAATTTATTTTGTTTTAAATTTGTTTTTTTTACATTTGATTTTTTGCTTTAAATTCATCATTTCTTTAATTTTTTTGTCTAAAAGTATTAAATTGCACCGTTAACTTGACATAAGACGACACATGCCAACTTTATTTTTTTCATCTTGATTTCGTCATTCTAATTTTTTTAGTGACAAAATACTATTAAAAAAGTGAAAATATTTTTTAATCCCAAATATTTTTTTAAATTTAAATTTATTTTTATGATAATAAGTAAATTTTAAGTATAAAATAAAATATTTATAATATCTTTTAAAAACGCAAAGAAAATTTTAGCAAAATTTTTGAAAGATATTTATAATTTTATAATACCTAAAAAGAGTCTATTATAACTTAGATATTTTCATTTTATAATTTCTTAATTTAAAATGAAAATATAAATTTTGTTAAGATTTTTTTGGAATATTCACTCAAAAGTGGTTAAAAAAACTCTAAATACCATTAAAAAAATTAATTAAAACTCTTTTAATAAATACTTTTTTAAAAAATACTATAACAGATTGACATTTTATCCTCCAAAGTTTTCTTACTACCGTAGAAATGAATTTAAACTCATAAAAATATTTTTACCATCACTTTTTTATTTACATGTTGCAATTCTATAAAATTAACGATGCCACTTAATACTATTAATTTAAAAAGTTAACAAATAACAGAACCCTTAAAACCATTAACACCGATCACATAATCTAGCACTTATTGTCAGGATTACAGAACAAGAACGAAAGCAAGGGTGGTTTCAGATGACAACAAAATGGGAGTTGGCCCAAAAGAAAGGCCAGGCCCATGGTTGTTAAAATATTGGGCTCAGAGCGAGCATCCATGAGCTTTAATTCTGTTTTCACAAGGCGCATATTATAACCGAGAAGAATGATTGGTAGACATATCTGGTGGTCATGCTTGGCCCTGCCTATTTCTCTTCTCTGGTAGACATGAACACAAATGGACACTGGAGAGGTTACAAGCCTAAATGAATCAAACCAGAACTTTTAACTCATTTCAAATCAAGTCCTTCAATTTCAAAATAATTTTTAAAATTCTCGAATTTTATTTTATTTTATTTTTAAAAAAATAGCCTTTTTTTTTAATCATTTATCTTAAAAAATAACATTCACATAAATATCTTCATGAGAATAACAATCACATAAATATTTATGAAAATCGTTAGTACTTGTCTGAACTCTTCAAAGTTATTTTTTTTAATGTTCAATAAATAAATAAATATACTTCTCAATTAGATTGAATCTTTTTCAACATATATGTAAAACTTCAACTCAAAATACAAATAATTAATTTTCTTAAAGAGGAAAATCATAACTGAAAATCATTAAATGAACTAAATCTCAAAAAGATTTAAAAGTTCAAAAATCTCAAAATCAATTTTAAAGTTTAAAAACTCGATTTCAAATAAGTTACATCAGAGGCTTGACCCTTTTAACCGAATTATAATCAAAATGATGATTTTAATAAACGATCAATTTTGTGATAAAAGAATGAAAGCATGATAAACATTCCATCTAGTTCTCACAATCCCAGTGTCCTTCAGTTCCTGGAAAACAATACGATATATGAACTCGGCAGGCCATTAATGAAAGAGTAAAGGCAGTTAAACATGACGATTGTTGTGTCATTGACACAGCTAAACAAAATTGCCCGCAGAAACTGATTTTATGTTACAACTATGCAACCTTGACAACAAACACAGGCTACAAAAATGCCAAGCAAAGCTCCAGCAAGAACTTGTGATGGAGTATGTCCAAGAAGTTCCTTGAGCTTTCTTTGACTGATAGGATGCCCTTGAAAGAGGTCCTCGACGATCATATTAAGAACCTATGTTAAGGCAGGAAATGCACGTGTTAGTTCCATGACCATGAAAGACTGCATGATTCTTCTTCTTCAAAAAAAAAAAAAAAAAAAAAAAAAAATGTTAAAGACTGATTTTATGTTAAGGCAGGAAATGTACGTTTTAGTTCCATGACCATGAAAGACTGCATGATTCTTCTTCAAACAAAAATAAATAAATAACATGTTAAAGACTGCGTATCAGATGTAGGGAAGCTATGATAAGGTTGAGAAAAGAAAATGGTTGAGTGCGGATGTCGAACAGAAGGATTGAAGTAGAAACTGTCATGCTAATACACATATAAGATGTACTACGCAATAAATGAGCAAGAAAAATGGGTTGCTAGTGCTTGGAACTTCAGAATGCATGATTCATCAGCAGCAAGAATGGATACAATGGTTCCTTACCCCAAGGTACTATTGGCTTCAAGTGATACATTAATTATTCATCAGAATTGCAGTTCAACATGCTATTAAAAAATTGAAAGATCTGTTCCAGAAATAGGTACTATTCAATGTAAATCATGCAACCTGCAAGTCTTCCAAGTTTACATTTTGAGTCATCCAAATTGTGCAAGGCATATAGCACTGGCAGTTGGCTTCACATTCTTAATTACAAAAACTAGCAATCAATTTAATAAAATTTCTCTTACGTAAATCAACTGTTTAGTTGTGCAGCTAAGCTCATTTCAGTAGTCCCAAAATCAAAAACTATAATTACATAAACCTAGCCAATGGGCATATGTATCAAAATGACAACATAATGCATAGGAATTTGATCAAGACCATAACTGATTTGACATTTACTGTGATAGTCTCCTCTGCTTAAGCACAAAAGACTTTCAACCCAAGGACAGAGTAACTTTTGGATCTAGCAACAGACACATGTCCACAAACTCAGGAAATTATCCAGCTATAGTTGAGATGAAAATTAAGTGAACTTCACCTTTCTAAACTCATCTCTGATTAGGTTTAAATACATTAGAAATTGTCTCCAATGAGCATAGTTAGGTTTTTATGAACTCCTAACCATCTTTTGCAAATTCTTCAAGCACATAGAACCATTAATTTACCTACATTACAAGTCTGATCAAGAATCCAGCAAATAACCATAATTCTGACCATTCTTCCCAACCTCAGACCATGCTACGATCCTTCCTAATAATGCTGTACTCAGTTCTAGTGATCATCTGTCAGGATAAGCATTTGGCATGGCATGTTCTTGTCATGGCAATGACTAAATAACAGAGCACGGGCAGGGAAATTGTTCTATTGTAGCATCAAGTGTAGGAAGTGGGAAGAAGAGGAAGACCTCCGTCCAAACTCAACCACATCTTTGATAATGAAGGTTGAATATAAGCCAGAATTGGATTCAAAAAAAAAAAAAAAAACTGAATACCATCTCCAAACAAAATGATGGTGATGATTTGCCAATGGATTGTTCAATCTAGTATATTCAGGCCTTTGAAGACAAATAATCATCGACCGCTTTTCCTTTAAAACCTGTGGCTTACCCACTCATCTTATCTCCAACCCTATAGCCATACCAAGCCAGAGAAGCCGTGAGTCTTATTGGATTCAGAAATTCACCCAATTCTCCCAAGCCAATCACGACATTCATGATATCAATAGGTCATCAGCCGAAGCCAACTGAATGATCCAACTTTGGAACACCAAAAAAAAAAGAAAAAAAGAAGAACTATTCTGTAGACAAGTAGCATAAAAAAGTCACGCAGTCGATGTTTGGGAAGAACAACCACAATTATTTCAACCAAAGCAATGCGACATTAGAACATTATGCATGAAAATGGAAATTTCACCTAAAAAAAGCAATTACTTCTCAAAAAAAAAAAAAAAAAAAAACAGCAACAACGAAAGCAGTGCAACAGTAGAACACTAGGCATAAAAAATACTAAGTTTTTCACCAACAAAACAAATACTTTTTTCAACAAAGCAAACGTAATGAATAAACACTAATTCACTCCTTACCACAGCCTGCATCCCAGCATGACGCCTGACCCCAATTGCGTCATACATAACAATAAGACTAAACCCCAAACAAACTGGAAATAAGGAATCAGCCACTCCATGACAAAACGCAACTGATGTTGTCAGAGCAGTACACAAAGCAGAGTGTGAAGACGGCATCCCTCCAGAGGCAAACAGTACTCTCAAATCCCATTTCCTCTCCACAAAGAAATTCAAAAACACTTTCATTGACTGTGCAATAAACCAAGCAAACAAACCCGATATAAAAGTTGGGTTTGCAGCTAATGTTGCCACAAAAGGACTAATCTTTACTTTCGCATTCGATGTTATACTCAATAAAGCCAAACCGAACGCTCCATTTCGCATATAATTCCCACTGTATTTACCCATTGTCTTCTCTGATTCATCACTGTATGCTTGTAACCGTGAAGCCCACTTTTTTGTCTGTGAAGAAGCTAAGCCTTTGATGTTTTTCAATATAGTGACCGAAACCCACAAAGGGTTTGACAAAAAAGTTCTATTACTATTGTTTCTTGGTTTTGGCTTTTGTTGAGTTGAAGGGTTTTTATGAGAGAAACAGATTGGAGAGGTTTTGAGTTCGATCAAATGACTTAACTTGAAAAATGAAAAGTTGCTAGGATACAAAAGTTTGGTTCTTGGATTTGCGGGAGTGAAGTAGAAAGAGTTAAAGATGGGTTTGTTAAGTGTTAAAGAGTCCATGAGATGAAGTATTCTATCATTCTATGATCGAGTTCTTGAATTCAGTCTGCATTTCAGGATACAAAGTGCTAGAGGCGGGATGAGAGGTGAGTTGGAGTTTGCATTTGGCTTCCTGGGTCAAACATGCCCTAAACTTTAGATTATTCCAGAATTACTCGATTAGAAAAGGTTAAAATTGACCTTATGCAACTTTAGAGAGTAAATTATAAATTAGTCCCTCGAGATTTGGAAAATAAATTAATTAGTCTTTCTTGTTTAGAAAACTAATTACTTAGTTTTTATGTTTTTAAATTTTCTTGTAACTGCATCCTTTTTTAGCCTTTTCGATTTATTTTGATTTAAAAAATTTTAAAAATAATAATAAGTAAAAGATATAGAAGAATTGATAAAAAAAAATTAATAAAATAATATTAAATCAAGCGAGATGAACACTAGTAAAAAAAAAAACTAAATAATTATTTTTTAAAACAAGAGAGGTTAATTAATTTATTTCTAAAAAAAGATTAATTTATAATTTATTTCAATTTTGACTCGTTTGAAATTAGATCTTTTTGTTAGATTTTGTAGAATTCCATAGATTAATTAAGAGATTTTTACAAGGGAAAGTCACATGAATTTGCATAAATTGATATACTTCCTTGATTTATTGATTCATTTTTTAACTCTTGGATGAGTTTGATTTTTGAGTAACAAGAAAACTTATTTAAAAAAAAAGTGATTAAAAAATATCCATAAATCTGATGAGAAAAGAAAAACAAAATTTTATCATATCAAAAATATTTCTATTATAAAATATCCAAAAAAATAATAACAATAATGGATATTTTGGATTTTACATAAGAAATCTAACAAAAGGATTACATTTTTTTTCTAGTTTTTTTATGAAAAAAATCTGTTATTTTTTGTTTCTTATGGATATTTTTTATTTTTTTCTATCTAAAGGTCTAATTATTTTTATTTTTATCAGATTTATTGATATTTTTCTTATCATATTTTTAAATATATTTTCTATTACTTTTTCACTACGGTAATAAAATTCAACTAACGAGTTCAAAAATAAGTTAATAAAATAAAAAAATTACATTAATTTGTTCATAGATTACCCGATTAGCATACAAAAATCCATCAAATGATGGATGAAATCCTACAAAATCTAATGGAAAGGCACAATTTTAAATCGATCAAAGTTGTAAGAGGATATTTTTTTATTTTTTCAATGAAAAAATAGTTTTTAAATAACTTAAAAACTATTATAATAAAACCTTAACAACGATGTCTTTTACTTTCAATTTAATCTATACTACTTTAAAAGTATTCACATTCAACAATACTTCGACTATTAGCTTCAATTTAACGAACTCATCAAGAAGCTCAGCTTTTCATGTTTCTTGCAGATGTTTTACTTTAGAAACAAAAAATTAGGTACAATCCTATTTGGTTCACAATATATAATTTTTTAGACACATAATGTTGTGCCTTCATAAACTTTATTTTAAACTATTTGAAAAATCTTCTTGAATTGGGAAATTTTGGTTTATTTTTGGTGTTCAAAATGCAATGTTAGCTTGACAAATAATAGAAACAGGCTTCCTAAAGATTCGGTTAAACTAAAACTTACAATGAAGGCAACATTGATAAATTTGTGATATTGGTCGAAACTGTAGTTGGGGGATGGAAATGAAATTTTCAGTATAGTTGGATGATGATCTATTTGAAGTTATTCTTCTAATTTATATACATGGTGGAGAAAGAGCCCTTGGTTTATCTTATCATCACAAAGATGCCGTTTAATTGGTTTGTGCTTAGAAGAAGGAAGGACGGGAGGCAATTGGACCACTCCATTCACCTGTGGATGGGAGCAAATTTCAAAGGAAGGAAAGCTCCAGGACTGGACGGTCCATTGCTAACCAAACCAAAAGATTAGGCAAAGTGGAACAAGATCCCGCGCAGTTCCAAGTTCGAAATTGCAATGGGAATTTAGACTATCGTTGATTCACGTGGGCTCGGCCGATTTGTCACTTCTAACCTTGTGCAGCTGTGTGAGAACTTTCCCTTGTTTTCTTTCACCCAAAATTTTCCTCTTCGTAGTCTTCTTTCTTTTGATGACAAACGTGTCATTAGTTTTAAAATTACACGAAAAATAAATCAATTAATTACGCAATTTTATGAGAAATTTTCTTATTGTTTCTGACTTTGTCTTGTATTTTGAAGTAGGGGGTTGTTTTTCTGATGGTTAAATTTGAGAGTTTTCTTCCATATGACATTTTATTTATTTATTTTTTAATAATGATTAGAAGTTAAAAGGTTCGAAGAGCTAGAAACCAAACTTTTTCCTTTTTCTTCTAAAGTAACGTTTAGTTGTAACGTGAGAAATGACAAACCCCCTCTTCTCGTGTTTAGTTGGAAAGAGAGGGAACAAGTGAAAAACATGAAGATTGAAATTGATAACAAATATCATTCATTTAATTTTGTATTCATCCAGCAAAACATGGAGCTAGGAAGCCTTCATCATTGGACCGAAGATTTATCTAAAAACTCGTGGGTTTTTTTTTTACTGATGTATCTGCACTAATTTTATTTTGTGATGGTAGATATAATAAAAAAGTATAATCTATACATATTCGTATATAATAAAATTATTTCGAGTCCGTTTAAAACTTTTATTTATTTATTCTCGTGGATGAGATATTATTGATATATCATGTCCTTTCATTATACATTTACAGAGGAAACTGTTTTTTAACGGCATTCTTTAAATTAATTGTATTCATAAATTACATCTCCTCACATTTTCACGTCTTCTCATGTACAATTGTGTCCCTTTTTTTGATAATATATATATATATATATATTCTTTTAGATTTACAAATTAATTTCAAAGGTTGCAACGTAACTGCTGTCATATATTAAAAATCTATCCCACCGATAATCATCAATACGACTTTTCACAGCAGATTAACAAGAAATCGTGTCTTTCAATCACATCCTTTTAAATTAATGGTGTTTATAAATAATAATTTTTCACCTTTTTTTAATTACCAATAATCACATATTATAATATTAAGGATAATGTTTGCTTTCACCCCTTTTAATCATAACTTTAATTTTATTTTAAAATTATAAACAAAGAGATTTATTCATAAAATTATTCATGTACTTCTAAAGATTTCTCAATTATTGTAATATATAAAATATTTTGCTAAATATTTCCTCCATTGTGCAAAACCTAACTCCTCTTATTTAATTTACAGGAAGTGCCCAACTGAAACATGATGAGTCATGAAAAAGTTACGGTTTGAAAATAATTTATTTACAAGACATCATATTGCATCGTAAATGAAGTCCAGAAAAAACAAGACCTCGCATTGTAAATGACACGTACACATATAATTTCACGTTCAAAACTAATAGTTGGTGAATTTGATTAATGGAATAATTGTCGATCTATGTCTTTACTGTGCAAAAATTACATCGATGCGCATAATTGTTTATTTTCCCAATTCAAACAATCAGGGTAATCCGGTAAATAAATAATAATAATAAATAAACAAAAAGAATAAAGAAAGTTTCAACGGTCTCTCCTCTCTGTTCATTCGTTCCCATTTCCCGGTTCCTTCGCCAACCTTCTCATTCTTCGATATTCAACGACGAGAAAAGTAAAAAAGAGAGGAAAACAAAATCACGTAAACTAATCTCTCTTTCGCACACCGAACAACTCATTAGCTCACCGACTCGAACCTTCTTTACCCGCTGATCAACACCGATTCATCAACTCAGCATTTCGACTTGCAATGGAGAATTTGATTTCATTGGTGAACAAGATACAGAGAGCGTGTACCGCACTTGGTGATCATGGAGAAGAAAACTCCCTGCCTACTCTTTGGGAAGCCTTGCCTTCCATTGCCGTCGTTGGTGGCCAGGTCTAATCTCTAATCTAATGAATCCAGGCACAGCTTTATTGTTTATATTCTAAATCGCTTGGTTCTATTTTGATCATTTTTTTCCCGAGCTCATATTGGCCGTTGTTTCATTTTTTTCTTGAATTATGTTATTGTTTATTTTTCTAATTTGGTTTCTTACTCTTGATTGCTTTGCGTTTGGTTTTGCTAAATAATGTATAGATCTAAATAAATGTTTTTAATTCTATCGTGACCATTTTTTTTTTGGTTATCTGCGGCATCAGGTTTTGCACCAACAATTTCTAGTTCATGATTGAATGCAATCACATGAAACCAAGAATTTTTATTAATTTTAAGATGTTTGGATTTTTATTTTATTTTCAAGTTTGCATTTATTTAATAAACAGATACATATTTTTGTGTTTGATCAGCTTAAATGCGTGTTACTTCCACTAAATCATTTCAACTATTTATTTGGAATTTCTACCTTTTTTTAACTATTTATTATATAATCATCTAAATGTGTTAATGATTCATAGAGCTCCGGAAAATCGTCAGTGCTGGAGAGCATTGTTGGAAAGGACTTCTTACCTCGTGGGGCAGGTATTTAAGCTGTTGATTCTTTTCATACTCGCCATGTTTGCACGCAGAGCTCTTGTTGGTGCTTGTTTCTTTTTCTATGGCCTTAAGTGATGCGAGTATTTTCCAGGGATTGTTACACGGCGTCCTCTTGTTCTGCAGCTTCATAAGATTGATGAAGGAAGAGAATATGCAGAGTTTATGCATCTCCCGAGAAAGAAATTCACTGATTTCGGTATGATATCTATGATGCCTTGTGTTTTTTTCCTCTTTTTTGCAACGTTTCAGTGATTTTTAATTAATAGTTGCAGTTTATGCTATAAATATATGATGACCACTGGTTTCTGTTTAATTTGTCTTTGGTTGATAGACTTAGTTTTGGCAATTATTTGTATGCATATATGTTTTGTTGGTCATCTCAGTGGCTAATCTTACTTCAATTATGTGTAGCTGCTGTGAGGAAAGAGATCTCTGATGAGACTGATCGAGAGACAGGCCGCAGCAAACAAATTTCTAGCGTTCCAATCCATCTAAGCATTTATTCTCCTAATGGTGAGACAGTGATGCTTATTACATCATTTTTACTCCTTAGAATGGATGTGATTTTATCTTTAATTCATTCTGAACGAGTGATTGGTAAACCAATGATATTTGGAACCTATCATTAATTTTTATTATTTGATTGGATGAGCAGCGAGTCAGAGGGTCTACAATCAATTAGTCGTATTCATCTGGCTTTTTAGTTATTATGCTGTGCTGATCATTCTTTGCTTTTGAGAACGGACTTGAATTCAACATAGTTTCTAAATGTTGTTTCATCTTCATGCTTTTGAAATAATCTGTCTCTGATTTTCTGTCAAGTGCATGGCATCAATTTTATTGATAACACTCTGAATGTCTCATGTCAATAATCGTCATTTATTTGGTACCATCTTATGTATTTGTGATTTTTTGTATTTTGCCAGTTGTGAATCTGACTTTGGTTGATCTTCCTGGACTTACTAAAGTAGCTGTCGGTGAGTTATTTGGACTTATGTCCTTTCTGTTAACGTTCATATATATTTTACCTGTTTGCGTTAACTGTTTACCACAAGAGTGACTAATGGCCAATCTGTTTATTTGGGTCATCATAGAGGGTCAACCTGAAAGCATCGTGCAGGACATTGAGAATATGGTTCGTTCGTTTATAGAGAAGGTAATTCATCGCATGTTCTGAAAACGTTTCATATTATATAGCATCAAAAATCAAACTTAATGGAAAATGCTGCCAATTAGAGCTCCTGAGAGCTTTTTGGTTGTATTTACTGTATGATACATATGTTCTACCACATGCATACAATGTGCTTTTTAGTGCACTTTTTGTTGATTTTTTTGGGGTGCAATATTGAATTAACACTGTTCTTTCAGCCAAACTGTATCATTCTGGCAATTTCTCCTGCAAATCAAGATCTCGCAACAAGCGATGCGATTAAGATCTCTCGTGAAGTGGACCCTAGAGGTAAGATTTCAGACATCCTTTTCTTGGACAACTGTACATCTTTCACCTGGTGCAAAATGAACTTTATGGACTCATTTGCCTTCATTTTTTGGATAGAGGAAGTCAGCTTTGCTACAACATTTCTGAATACAAAAGAAAAACCATAACAATGATTTGAAAATTAGTGCACACTTGATATGTGAAGAAGGGAAATTGGGTACATTTTCCAATTCCAGCAGTGTGGTGGAACATGTTACCTTGAAACCCTAAGAGGGCTACGAGTAAATATGACTTAGATGCTAATTCAGTGGATGCAGGGTGGATTAATGAGTCTAACATACTATTTTCATTTTATTTTTTCTTGCCTCTCATCTTATATTACCAACTTTCAATTTGAAACTCATTTGTCTTCAACTGGGAGAGTGTTGCCTTCATCGTGTTCACTAAACAAAATTGAATCCATTCACTAGTCAAATGTTTAATTTTGAAATTTTATAATTTTAACTAATTATTATTATTTTATTAATTCAACATGATGATGATTACTGTAGACAGGCATATTTTCCTATTTTATTACTAATGGATAAATGGATTTTGTTTGATGATCAAATTTCAGGGGAGAGGACATTTGGAGTTTTAACAAAGATTGATCTCATGGACAAGGGTACTAATGCAGTTGATGTGAGTTTGACATTTTAAGTTAGTAATTTAGTCCCATACTTTTATTAGACAATAGAGTTTCAGTTTTCTGTTGGATTCTTGTAGCCCAGCTCTTTCATATGGAGCTTTTTCTTCGCAAAATTCATTAGCGTTTGATGCAGTGGAATTTAGCGATGTGGAGGGTGTTTTTCTTAAATTATCTTTGGCATTTATCATTATATGTATGTGGTATCAAATTGGTAAACACTCTTGTTTGTTGTCTTTCGTCAATGTGAAGCTACACAGGTTTTTGTTATTGGATGGGCAACGCTAAGTTTAGACAAATAGATGGAATATTGTTTGGAAGAATGGTTAAAGATGTTCTAAAAGCTTAATTTCTTCTTCCTGCCTTTGTTGTAGCGTTATTACTAACATGGAAGTGTATAGGTTTCATTACAATGGTTTTCTTCTGTTGTTTTTGGTTTATCAGATCCTGGAAGGAAAATCATATAAGCTACAGTTTCCTTGGATTGGTGTTGTTAATCGCTCTCAAGCAGATATTAACAAAAGTGTGGACATGATTGCTGCTCGGCGCAGAGAGCGGGAGTATTTTCAAACTAGCCCAGAATATGGGCATCTTGCTAGCAGGATGGGTTCTGAGCATTTAGGAAAGATGCTTTCTAAGGTATGCTGAGATGTTAGTGGGAATTCACATGCATGCATAGATTCACAGATGCTCACAGATGTCTTCTGGTGCGCACATGCACACACACACACACATCCATGATCTGTACAGAAACTATTGTTTGCAGCAGCTAGTTCGTATAGATGGAAATGTCCTAGATTGTATAACCTTCATTTGGTTGCAAGTTTTTGTTGGAAAAAAGTGAAATCACCCATCTCTTCATTTACTACACCTTTTGTTTTTCCGTCAGCCAGTAATAAACCATTTATGTTGTTCTGTTGTTATTTTCATTCTGACAATGAATGTGGTTAAATTTTTCAGCATTTGGAACAAGTCATCAAGTCTCGAATCCCTGGCCTTCAATCTCTTATTAGCAAAACCATAAATGAACTGGAGACAGAGTTAAGCCGTCTTGGGAGGCCAGTTGCTACTGATGCTGGAGTAAGTATTTTATTTTATCTGTGGCTCGATTAATCTGACAGTACTTTTACATTCTTTTTTTATTACAACCTTCTGACTGAAGTAGGGTGGCCCACGCATCCAGCAATGTTATTTTTGGTCTCCTTTTGCTCTATGTGGAGTTTATCTTCACTTAAAGTATGCATTGTTCTTTC